TAGTATTCCCGTGAATCCCAGAAATCTACGTAATGAATAAACAATACATATTTACCGTAGATGACTGAACAATTCATAAAGGACTTAGTTAAACTATGTTGGTTGTTACTTGTACATGCTTTATTGTCTTGCCATTGAAAAGTGTGGGCATGTGCTGTCGAATGTAAACGTACTATGCCCAAATTTTTCCATCGGGGTTGGGAGAAGAAGTATTCACACCGAGTTCGTGAATTGGCCCTTCCATAAGAGGATCAACTACAATCAAACACATTCATGGATACTTGTTACTACACAGATAATACCTAAGCAACCATTATTTATACCTTAAATGTCGGTGTTTGTATCCGGAACACATACTAACATACCTGCATCAAATACCGATATGCCCTAGCGCAGATCTTACGTACCGATAAAGTTGGTATCACATGCTTCAATATCGGGTATATATACCCTGGTAACTTGTGCTTAGGTAACCAATCATTTTCGGTTCAAAATATTCATTTATTGTCGGTAATCAGGGATGAATTCATTGTAATAGTATTTCCATAACACTTTGAATTATATAAAGAGATAAACAACATATTTACTATAGATGACTAAAGAAGTAAAATATGACTTAATTATATTGTATGATATATGTAGAATTATACTATAACCTTCATTTGTAGATGGCTAAACAAGTTATAAATGACTAAGTTAAATTATATTAGTTGTTAGAATACATAATTTCTGTCATGAATTGAAAATCTTTAGACTCATTACATAGTAATCTACATCGTAGCACACACAACAATATTCAAGTGAACACGCTAATCGTAATCTACTATTAGGACTTCAAGTGTTTTGTGCGTAATAGGACAAACACATCTTGTCTAAAATATTTTGACCCATGACATAATAATCCAAACTACTGCACATTTATAAACTCAATATCAATTAGCCAGAAACATTTCAAAGAAGTATAACTTGGTTGAGATGGTAAGTACTTCAGCATGGCTCCGATGTACCCCCTATTGATTTTAATGTACCAATTCTTATCAAATTATGTACCCATGCTCTGCTTTCATGTAAATAGAAAATATAACATTATGAATAGGTGGGTAATTGTGTACCTGCATACTTTAAATGAATGCCCGAAGTGTATGAAACTGTAATAAACACATATTTACTATAGATTGTTAAACAAGTAATGAGTGACTAGGGTAAGTTATGTTGATTGTTACTCATATACCATTGTTCCCATGGATTGATTGGTTATTTAGACCTATTACCCAGTAATACACACCGTAGCACACAAAACAATATTTGGTCTACAAAGGTAGAGAAAGGAAGTACTCTCACCGAGTTCGCGCATTGGACCCTCTGCATGGGATTGACTAAAATAAATTACATTTGAAGATACCTGGTACTACAAATCTAATGCCTATGAAATTATTATTTATATCTCTTATATTGAGGTTTATACTCGGCTCAGATGGTTACATACCAGAATCATAAATGTAAATACCCTATATAAGATATTACATACCTACAATAACAATCAAATATACTTCAGTTACGATTACATATGCTCTGGTAACCTATAGCGGGAGAATATGCATTTTTGCTTAAAATATTCACTAAATGATAGTAACCATGAATGAATTCAACCATGGTAGTATTTCTCGTAACACCCCAAAGTGTATGGAAAGATAAACAATACATATTTACTATTAATGGTTAAACAAATCATAAATAATTAGTTAATTTGTATGATAATATTCCAACCTTGACTTGTAAATGACTAAACAAGTCATGAGTAAGTAAATTAAATTATGTTGGTTGTTAGTATAAATGACTGATGTCATAAATTGAAATTCATTAGACTTATTACGATTAATCCACATTGTTTCATACACAACAACATTTGGTTAGAAGCATACTTGCATAGCGCATGACTCAACTAGATAGGCAAATGCTCCAAGCGGGTCTGCCATACCCCCAAACTCGCATGGTGTACAAAATCCTAGTAATTGTGTACCTTCTGTAGTCTAACGTGTAACTGAACAACGTAATCTTATGGCAAGGTTTTCGAATTGTGTACCTTCATGGCTCCATTTAATGCATGTAAGGATTTAGCATATAACCTTCATAGATTCCGAAAAAGATTAAGACTTAATCCTCATTTGTATGTTTCTAACCGATATGACATGATCAACACAGTATGTTCGTGTACTTTATGTCAATGCGATTATTAATTATCAAGACCACACTGATATTGTTGGGACAGTAATACGCTACCACCAAATGTGCCTCGATAGATCAACTAAATACTCCCCCAGATAATTCGTGTGTCTCTATTCATTTATTTGAAACCTGTGTAATTGAATTATCATACACAAAGGAGAACTGTCACATACCCGTTGTTCATGTTCATATACCATCAGAATATCCAAATTACAACAACAGTTCTGTACAATTTGAATCTTGCTATTGTATATTTACCTTCCACATTACATTTTTATCAATTATGCCAAATGTAATTACACACCAAAAAGGACGTTTAGAACAAAAATAAAAATTACACTTCAAAAGGCCTACAGTACCGCAACTTTACAATTTCTTTTGACGTGCCCGAGACAACCACAACGTCCACATTTTCGTGACTATTTTATTTGCTGCGAGTCATAGCATCATTTCTTCGATTCACATTACAATACATCTTCTCCTTGGAAACAAAATCATGAATAACTCTGTCGAGCTACATCTCGATGTCTTCTCAACATTCTGCCAACTCATCGCCTTTCAAACCCTCTGCGTCTAACCGTGTATCCCCACCGCTGCATAAACATTAGGAAGATAACACATACGTCTCATTATTCCGTTCCAATGTCACAACACCCGCTCCGTCACCACCTCCCTGTCGTCACAACACCCGCTCATCAATGCCCTCAAACTCGCCGCCTCCTCCGACCTCAATGGCATCCTTTGAATCAATTTTTTTCCCTATCCGACAAGCCCCACCCGGCTTTAAAAAATTGATAATGCATTCAAAATGCTTGATCTTGGGCACGACGTCATACACATCTCGCAAAGTCCTCACCAAATCCAATCCTTTAATCGCCATATCCAAATATATACATCCCACGAGAGAAAAAGTAAACGTCACCCGATCGAGATGAATTCCCGAGTCCTCCATCCTCGAAAACAAATTGACATTCTTTTTTTCCTACAACATTTGCCTGGAGATCATAGCGTTCCGTGTTATTATATCTCGTTCAGAGATTTCGTCGAACATCTTCTCAGCAAAATAAATGCAGCCATATTTCGAGTATATATTGATCAACACATTGCCCAATTTAATATTCGATCGAATCTCCAATTTCTCAAAAAAAATTATGAACCCAGACACAATCCCAACAATCTGTGTCTTAGTTTTGAAAAAAAAAACTGAAAAAAAAGGTTAGGAATTGCGTTGAGTCTCATCTTATTTCAAAATATGAGGATTTCATCCATAGCTCTTGTCTGATTTCCTGATTCTAACTCTATATCGGAAAAATCAATCACTACAACTATAAGGTTGTGCTTACTTGGGTTCCGATGACATCGCTCAATTTTGACTTCCCGGCGGCTAGCCTCCATGGAAGAAAGAAGCGTATGTAGGATTTAAGTGGCTGCCGGTATTGATTGATACTATGGTAAACTATCAAAAAATCAAGCGAGAGAAATCGAATAATCGTGTGAGGGTAAGCGGAGGAAGAAGGCGATGAAGGTAAAAAAAAAAAAAAAAAAAAAAAAAAAAAAAAAAAAACAGGGAGTTAAAACAAATATTATATGTAAAGTAGAGATTGCAGTTCAAACAAATTTACGAAGGGACTGAATCCAAAGTTCATTATGCATTTTGGGACTTTTATCCAATTATCCGAAAATTTTATTATAAATTTAAAATTAAAAAAAAGTAAATTTAATAAATAAATTAATTAAAAACTTGCCTATAATAGCACTTTTTCTTTGTTTAGCTACACATGGCTTGACGGCTAATATATATGTATATTTTGTATTTTTATATTTTATGAAATTTTGTGTTTGTTTGTCTATAATTTTTATTTTTTAATATAATGTTTAATATATATATATATATATATTTATACAAAAATCAATATTCAATATAAAATACTCAATCCGTTCCATTGAAAGGTTGCCATTTTTCATTTTTGTCCGTCCCAAAACAAGATTACTATTTCCTAATTTCGTAATTGTACTACTTACCTAACATAATAAATACCCTTCCAACTTACAATATATTACACAAATGCCATTACTTTTATATTACACTATACTAATAGGGGTATTTTTATCTTTTTTACTACAATCCAATATAATGTTAATATTAAAAAATATACGTACAAAAAGCAAATGTCACTCTTTCACCGGAACGGAGGGAGTATTATTTATAATTTCTTATATTTTACATTGGTGTGTTTGTTTGGGGATTGGATTTTAAATACACTATTTATACAATTTTTTTTTTCAAAAAAACATCAACTCAAACACCTATTTTTCATTTTTTATATTATACTAAAAATCAATTTTACATTCAAAATATGACATCAACACCTATTTATATTACATCATACAACTATTCAAATTCAAAATTTTTACTATTCAAATCCCAACTCAAAATCCAAAGCCCCAAACAAACACACCAAAAAAATTTATGAATTGAAACACTAAACAAAGAAACTATTTGATTGCTTTTGAATAGTAAAAATTTTGAATTTAAATAATGGTGCGATAGTGATGTTTTAAATATAAAATTAATTTTTATTATAATATAAAAAATAAAAAATAAACATTTAATTTGATATTCTTTTAAAAAAAATAAAATTAATTAATAGTAAAAATTTTGAAAAATCCTCCAAATAAACACACCTCTTTAGTAGACCAAATGAGTTCCAGTCCTGATGGGCCACATATATAACAGGCTTACAATTAATGGGCCTAATCTGGTAGTTTTCAAGCTCCGACGGACTATCCAACTTCAACAATGGCAACTGCCGGTGCCAGACTCGTCCACTCGATCGCCCCGTTTCGCAGGCGCAGAGGCGCGGCTTTATCTCATCCGCCGTGGGTGGGGCTGTTTCGCCCTCCAAACAGAGACTTGCGAGCATTTTCCTCCACCTTGTCTCCGCCTTCCAAGGCCGTCGTCTACGAGGAGCATGGCCCTCCAGATGCCGTCTGCAAAGTGAAAGAACTGCCCCCCGTACCAATGAAGGACGACGACGTTTGTGTCAGGATGCTCGCAGCTCCGATAAATCCCTCCGACATCAATCGAATTGAAGGTCCATCGTCCGCTTCACTATCAACCGGTTCTAAATTTCTATGTATTATAATATATAAGTGAGGCCTTTCCTGTTTTTATTAGGTTATCTGTTTTGAAAGAGCTGTATGTTGCTAAAATCTTCTATTTCAGTTCTAGAATTGGCTGAACTGATTGCCCGTTGTTTGTGATGGTGTTTGATAAACTTCGGGTGTGTTTGTTTGGGAGTTCTGATTTTGAGTTAGATTTGGATAGTAAAAATTTTGAGTTAGATTTGGATAGTAAAAATTTTGAATTGTAACGGTACAATGTGATATAAATAAGCGATGATGCTTTATTTTAAATGTAAAATTAATTTTCAATATAATATAAATATAAAAGAAAAATATGTATTTGATTTGACGTCTCTAGTGAGAAAAAAATTGATGAATAGTAGAAATCCGGTCAAATTCCTCATACGAACACACTCATGTACTTTCCCCGTGGTAACTTTTATTGCGATGGAAGTATTTAAATAGGGAAGTGATGGAAGTTGGTACGATGCAGGTGTATATCCTGTGAGGCCACCTGTTCCTGCTGTAGGTGGATATGAGGGCGTAGGGGAGGTACATTCTGTAGGCTCTGCCGTTAAAGGACTTAACCTTGGCGATTGGGTCATCCCTTCACCACCTTCTTCAGGTATGCACATATGTTTTTCAGCTGGATTTGAATTTGTATAACTTTTCGATACGAGTATGAACATAGATTGATTTGGGATGCCTATCCTAGTGCTATAGTGGGGAAACATCACCATAGCTGGTTTTTAATGTTTGAGTTAATGTGGTTATTCTTGAGGTATAATCAGAGAAAGCATGTGTCTTTCTATAGTATTAACATTAAAAATGAAGGAGTAGTGTATTAAGAAGCATGGCATAAAATTAGGACAGTATTGGTCCTTATCACATAATGACTTCTTGAGTATTTGCACTGAGGAGAGAGGTAACCTTACATGTTAACATGTAAAGTGCAAATGTATCAGTTGTGGTCATTTTCATTATTTGATCACTTCAAAGCTGCTGTTTTCCTGGCAGAGTTCTTTCTGCAAGTGTAATTTCAGGGACAAGGCAATTGATTCTCCTTTCCCGAACTCGGGGAGACATGTTTGTATGAGCAAGTAATTCATCATAACTTTGTGCTCTATGTTATCTTTGACAGCCCTTTCTGCTTAGGTACATGGCAGACTTTTGTGGTCAAAGAGCAAAGTGTGTGGCATAGAATTGATAAAAGCACACCCATGGAGTATGCTGCCACCATAACTGTTAATCCTTTGACTGCACTGAGAATGCTAGAGGACTTTGTGGATCTAAAATCAGGTTCTAAACATAAAACAAAATATCTGCCTTCTTAGAGCCTTTTCACTCGCTTTTCCTTACTGTAATCAACTGGAATAGGCGATGCTGTTGTTCAGAATGGTGCTACAAGCATTGTGGGGCAATGCATCATTCAGCTTGCAAAGCTTCGAGGCATCCATTCTATCAACATCATAAGGGACAGGTGCGCTCTCAATATACACAAGTGGACATCTTGTGTGTGTGCCATGTTGTCTTTTGTGCTTTCTTAATATTAGTATCCAGGCTGGATTTATTTTCCCTTGTAAAAATTAGGGTGTGTTTGGGAAGGATTTTTCCTATCCACAAATGGTCCTCCCCAAGAAATATGAAAGCAAACACCTATATATATATATATATAATATTATATTATACTAAAAATTAATTTTATATTAGCGCATTTCTGTCCTCACTCACCCGAACCCTAGCAGACTTCCCAAGTGATCATCCATACTCAAATTATTCTACGGCAAGCACGTTAACTCTAGAGTTCCTTCGGTAGGGCTCCACAAAAGGAATGTGCATACTGTTAACATGAGTAGTCTTTTCAATTTATTTAATCTCTAATCACTCTTGGATGGCCTGGCACTGGCTCATCCATACAAGGGAATAGGCCCAACAACGGTCCAACTTCAGAGATATTACAATGTATGCATATATAATTACCTTATATGTTAAATAAAGTTATATCACTTCAAGACAATTTTATTAGTGTAAACAATCATGTAACAATCGATGATTTCTGAAATTCAATACTATAATCTCAAAGTTAAATGTGTTGTGTAAATGACATATTATATTATAGATCCTTTATCAATAAAACAAAAAAAAAGAACACTGTATAATCTTTTTCTTCACAACGAATATAATTTATATATAAATATGCATGCCCAATGGGCTTAACCTTAACTATCTAACATATTCCCTCAAGCTGGAGCATATGTCTAATGTGCTTGTCACACAAATACTGATGCAAACATGATCAAAGGATTCGGAAACTTGCAAACCACAAGAAATACAGAAAAAAGAAGGATGCAAAATTTCATTTAAGAAATGAGATGAAAAGGATATGAATAGAAGGACAATTTGGCTTCTTGATTCCCAAGGTTGATCGGGTAGACACCACGTGAGAACTAGACTACACAACACAATCTTTATACCAAACAAGAAATATAGAAGGGGACTTTGACTTCTCGATCCACAAGGTTGGTCGGATAGACACTACGTTAGAACTAGGCAGCACGCAACACAAGATTTCTAAACCAATCAAGGAAAGAAGTTGATGCATAAGCGGTCCAACGCCGATTGAGAGACAACAAACTGTTTCAAATAACTCGAAAACAACACGATTTTAAAAGACTATCGAAGATTGAATCTCACAATCTCAAATAATGAAGCAAGCAAGAATCATTTTTGAAAAAAAACAAAATTTTATAAAGAATATTAAAGTGTTTTTGTTTTGCAATGATAACCAAGGGCCTTTTACATGGAGGTCCTTGGGGAAAAAAAAGAAAACATTTAACAAAAGGAAACTCCTAAGCAAGGAAACCCGTTAAAAGAGAACTCCTAGATATGGAAACCAAATTTGTAGAAAATTTATTTTATAAGAAAAGAAATATGGGATTTTTTGGATCTTTCTATAGTTACTGATATTGTTGGTGGGCAGTCCAAGTTCTTGAGATGGTGATCTTAGGATGATATGATTAAGTGCTCCGGGTGTCAAACATAAAAGAGTCCATAGTAGGTGTAGAAAAAAATTGTATTTTTATAAATACCAAAATTGGTACAAGTTATATATAATTTGAATTGAATTTATAGTATGTCCTATTCTCTAAATGAGTGCTTTGATTCATTTTTGTGTCGATTTGATTTTCAACTTGATTTTGGATGATTTCTTTAGAGAATTTAAAGGAGTTTGATCTTTGCAAAGACGGATTTGATTCTCGATTATGGATTTTATGTCTTTCCTTTGACGGATTTGAAGAAGCTTGATCTTTATGAATGTGGACTTGATCATCGGGTTTGGTTTTGAAGACTTCTTTTGATGGATTTGACGGTGTTTGACATCATGTCTTTTTAACTTTTGGATCGAGGAGGGTCGAATTGTTGATTTCCACACAGAATGGCAAGAACTTCTTGAAGCTTTGACATTAACTTGAAAAACTCCCATCGGCTTGAAGAAGGTCTTGAAGCTTGATCTTCCTACGGGCTCATAACATGCTTTGAAAAACATTAATCCATTGATTTGTCAACTAATATTTTGATCATGTCCAAATTAGTTTTGGTCGTTATCAACGATTAGTCGGTAAACTGAACTATCTTATTGTTACTCGTCCATTGGGAAGATGTTGTTTGCATTCTACGGTATATCAAAGGGTCTCTTGGACAAGGTTTGTTATATAAGAATCACGGTCATATGGACATTGTTGGATATCCGATGCAGATTGGGTAAGATCTCCTGCTGACAGATGTTCTACCTCGGGATACTGTATCTTCATTGGAGGTAATCTTATTTCTTGGAAAAGTAAGAAGCAAAACGTTGTTGCCTGATCGAGTGTTGAAGCCGAATATTGAGCTATGACCATTGCCACATGTGAGCTCATCTAGATTAAGCAATTACTTTCTAAACGTAAATTTACTGCTATTTCCGAGATAAAGTTATGCTGTGATAATCAAACTGCACTTCACATTGCTTCTAACCAGTATTTCACAAGCGCACAAAGCATATTGAAGTCGATTGTCACTTTATTCCTGGGTGTATTAGTACTAACTATGTACATTCTGTTGATCAGCTTGCGTATATTTTCACAAAATCTCTTAGTGGTCCTCGCATCAAGTACTTATGTAACAAACTTGACGCATTTGATTTGTATGCTTCAGCTTAAGGGGGAGTGTTAGATATTACTCTATTAGATTGGATTAGTTCAGGGTAAAGCCCAATGGGTTTGTGTATATAGGCTTATATATATAGAGTATAATACACAATTTCAAATAAATCGAAAAATTAGATTTGCTCTCTCCAAAGTAAGGATGACCACTATCATATTTGTTCTCAGTATTTTTGTTACAAAGGGTTTACATCTAGAGCAGTTGGATGTTAAGACAACATTTCTACATGGGGATCTCGATGAGAATATCTACATGTTACAACCTGAGGGTTTTCAAGTTGCTGGCAAGGAGAATTTGGTTTGCGAACTGAAAAAGAACTTATATGGTTTGAAACAAGCCCCCATGCAGTGGTATATGAAGTTGCTGGCAAGGAGAATTTGGTCTACAAACTGAAAAAGAGCTTATATGGTTTGAAACAAGTCCCTATGCAGTGGTATATGAAGTTCGACAACTTCACGATGAGAACAGGCTGCAAGAGATGCAAAATAGACCATTGTTGCTATGTGAAAGATATAAGGGTTCATACATCATTGTACTTTTGTATGTGGATGATATATTGATAACTGGTGCATACATGAGAGAAATCACTAAGTTAAGCAACAATGTCTGAGGCATTCGATATGAAAGACTTAGGTCCAGCCAAACAGATACTTAAGATGAGTATAATAAAAAAACAAGGATGGCTCTCTGACGCTATCTCAGGAGAAGTATATCAGGAAAGTGTTAGAGAAGTTCAACATGAATAGTGATGATACAACATATATTATCCTATATTGTATAGATAAAATATAATTAATATTTTGGATAGATTTCTACTCATTTTTTGCATTTATTGATTGGTGCAAGAGAATTGAACGCCCATGCCAAATTTTTGGTCAAAGAATTATGAAAGTGCTTGATTTAAGCTTGCATGTCAAAACAAGTGATGATTGAGATGGAGTGATTAAAGCGCGATTGAAGACCTATTCATCTATAAAATGGGAGTAAGGCATTGAACTGAAGCATAATGATTTACACTCACATTTCATAGCTCAAGTGGAGGATTGAGAAGGACGGTTTGAGAGGAAGTGCCACGAATGATCATCACTTTTATCGGTTTTATTTATTTTAAAACATGAGTAGCTAATTTTCTATTCTAGTCCAAGGGTTGATGTAGATTTCAGATTCGGATTTGTGAGATTACGTTTTGATTTGAATTGAATCTTATTTATTTAATTGAAATTTACGTAATTTCTGTGATACATGTCTACAATTGTTTTATTTAATCTTCTATCGCGGTCGGATTTTAGATTGGTTTAGCAATTGTGTGCTAATCAAACATTTGCATCCGTAATTTCGCACATGTTTTGATAAAGTGACAAATAGGTTGACAAACTTAGCTTAGGAATTACATAATCAAATAATTTGTTCATTTCGTAATTGATTGAATATTTGAATTGGGTTTTTCTCGTGCTATTTTCAATTGGAAAAATTAATTTATGATCGTACCTAGATTATTTCTTTGAATACGGATGCGGTCAATCGGTCGTACCATTGCCACCAATAAACTAAGCAAAAATTGGGCGTTATGATCGTATCTAATGCATATAGCCAATTTATCAATTGAACAAGAAGATTATTTAAAATCGATGATCAAATTTTTAATCTGGTTGCATAGAAATGAAAATGTTTCTATTTCTCTTGTTTGTTTAGTAAGAGAAATGGAAGTTGAGAAATAAATTATTTTCATTTCTCTGATTTTATTTTTCTCCTATATCCAGATAAATGGAGAAAAATCAACGGTGCAATATTATTTTTTTTTTAATTATTTTAATCTTTTTTAGTACTATTTAATTTTTATAATTTTTTAAAATTATATTATTTCAATTTTACAAAAATCACATTACATTTATTATAAGTATTTAATTTTTACGATTTTTTAAAAAATTGTACTAAAATATAATTTACAAAACATCGTATATAATTTATAAATTTTTTAAAAAATTCATCAAATAAATATTTTTTTTCATGAATTCTCATGTTAAAACTCTCTTTTTTCGAATTAATCAGTTATTCTTATTCGATGTATTCAAATAATTGCAATTTTTTTATATTTCTCAATTGAATTCTCTATTCTATCAAACAAGAGAATTACTTATTCTTATTCAATTCCTTTTCTTTGCAATTTCATTCTCTTTACCAAATGTCCTCCTAATCTCTTTAGAATCTAATTTTTATTTCTGGTCGCTTATTTTAATTACCTTGGTTGAATTTGCTAATCTATCCCCCCATCACTTGAATTGTGACAACACATGAATTAAACCTCATAGTTCCTGTAGTTCGACCTCGGCACCACTTGCTACACAGCCGGAGGGTTTGGCAGCTATAATTAAGTTTTTGGCTTGATTTTATGATTATTTGTTCACGAATTACTTTTCTATTAGGGTTTAGCTTCTCAGCTTAGTACTGTGGTAGAGACAGTGGATCTTCGCCACCACCAAAAACCAATTTTTTTTGGGTTTAGAGCCACGCTGCTGCCACCACGACAAATGATCGATTTAAATGGTCTAAAGTTGATGTCTTATTATTTGTGCTATTGTGGAATTTTTCGGAATCAGCCGTACTACCAACGAATCGGCCTTTCGAAACTTGCTATGAAATTCTCTCAAAATGTAACACATGTCAACCCTAATCTTACTTTCTATCTTGCTTTCTGATGTATTTCACATTTAATAGTTCTTTTGCCAAGAGTTTCTAGTGAAAAACTAGCTTTCATATTGTTTTCTTTTGCTTTCCATGATATTTTCACAACATTTATTGCATCAAACATGAAAAGTTATGTGTGGGCAGTTTCTCATGTTATGAAGTCGTATGATCCAGGGCAGGATCTGATGAAGTAAAAGAAAAGCTAACAAGACTGGGTGCTAGTGAAGTTTTTACAGAGAGCCAACTGGAAGTTAAAAATGTGAAGAGTCTTTTGGTATCAATTCGAACCTACAAATAGTGTCTAGAAAAATGGCATTACTATTATTCTCTTGGTTCTTTATGTGTTTCATGTTTTCTATGAATATTTTGAAAGAGGTGTATCATTGGCTGGTGTTAATTCTAATACATCTTTCACACTACTGATCATCATCTGTATTATTCATCCCCAATATTTGCCCAAATTACTAATTTGTTTTGTATATTTTGCAGGGTGATCTACCAGAGCCAGCATTAGGATTTAACTGTGTTGGTGGCAATGCTGCTTCCTTGGTCCTCAAATTCCTGAAGTGAGATCGATTGTAATTTTCTCCAGTATGTTCTTTTCATTTCCCTTATTAAAATTTTGTTGTTTGCAGGCATAGTGGGACAATGGTTACATATGGTGGAATGTCGAAAAAGCCTATAACAGTCTCTACTACATCTTTCATATTCAAGGTACACTTTGAAAATTGTCAACTTGGGTTTTCTGGATTCATCCTGTTCCTGCATAATATTATAAAGGGAATGAATTTAATATGTGAAGCAAAGGCATCATTAAGTTGAGCGCTCTTTCATTAACATTAATATCTTGTGTGAAAATGGTTGAACAAAGGTCCAAATCTGTAGGTGTTCATGAAAAGGTCATAAGTTTAAGGAAAGAAGGACACACTTTAATAATTTTGTATGCTAGAAAAGCTTCGATAATGTGAGCAAGCATCAGGAATGATGCTGCTAGTCAGTTCTTTAGTTTTCTGCTTTGAATTTGTAACTTATAATGCTAATTAAGTCATAACTGTGCATTACTGTTATGCCTATGCAATTGCTCTATCCTCTGCTTTTGTGATATCTGCATGGTCATTGGTTTCTGGGAAACTATGGAAGTGGCATTTCATGTATATGACAAAATTTGGGATGCATAATTTATAGAGTGTGAATTAATCAGGTGGTACACAAGAAAATATACAAAGCAGCATTATAAAGCTCATAAAACATTGATGTGGTTAGAGGTCAAGTTGTCTTCTTGTTAGTATATCTGGATGATGTCTAATGCCAGAGGTACAAATGAATTTGTTGCATACCCGGGATGGTTTATGAAATATGTTCCAACTCTTGCAGGATTTGCAGCTGAGAGGATTCTGGTTGCAAAAATGGTTGAGTTCGGAGAAAGCGAAAGAGTGCAGGGAGATGATTGATTACCTTTTGGATCTAACCCGTCGTGGTGAGCTAAAATACGAGTATGTTCCCTTTCTCTGTCTTTTCCTCACGTCGTTCATTCCTATTCCATCGCTAGCTAAGAAGGGAATATCTCTGTCTCTGGTGAATTCCATATTTCATTATTAGCCTTGTTCAAGGTTGTAACAGTGTGTCTTAGTTGTTCATAAGAATTAAGTTCAGTGACTAGCATTTGGTAAGGTTGAATTCAGTGATTGAGTTCTAAATTAATCTCTCTCTCTCATCAAAGCATAAGCATTGATAGATTGATTGTATTTGTGTGTATATGCAGCATGGAGGTTTGTCCATTTGATGAATTTGGTGCATCATTGGAGAAGGCCCTTGGGAAGTTGGGAAGTCATCCCAAGCAAGTTCTCAAGTTCTGATTATTATTATTATTATTATTATTATTATTATTACTAATATCGGAACCACTGGAAACACTACAAATACACTTCGATATATCTGTCTGTTTGCAACTAACGGTTGATGGATAGCTGTTAGGAAGCAGTAATAAAACCTTCTGTTTTAACAGGTCACAATCCAAGAAAGTTATCAGAGGTTTGCTTTTGATTTGAAACAAAATAATAATAATTTACTCAATATGATTTTCAATAAAAATATAAGTATTATATTTTTTTTTTGCAAATTATCAAATTAAAATATTATATAAATCAAAATTCAATTTCAAATTAAGATCAATCAAACTTTTACTTTGTGTTCTTTTGTTACAATTCAGATTGTTTTTTTCTTTAAAAAACATCAATCAAACAATAACTTTTATATTTTTATATTATGCTACAAATTTATTTTACATTCAAAATATCACATCAACTTTTATTTATATTACATCTATTCAATTTCAATTTTTTTGGTATTAAAAAATTTAAACCCAAAATCTAAAATCCACAAATAAACAGTGAGCTCTGAGCAGTTATTCACTCTGTTCTACTAGATATATATATATATATATATACTAGAGCTCGCCTTACCTTGCGTTTGGGCGTTTTTTTTCGGTTGAAGGAGGCGTTGTGGAGGGCATGTTGTGGGTTTTATATGAAACTTTGAGGCATGAGGTAGCGGGAGTATAATAAATGTGACAACATATTGGTTGTTAGATCGGTTGTGCATGCGAAAATAAGGAAGGAAGAAGCACCACCAATGTAATAGTTGTTGGGGAATTAATATTTTGAGGATGAGAATACAGTGTAATACATTTACAGTAATGTCCTAATTATGTTTTTGATATCACTCCATTTTCTGTTAAGGGTGTTGGTGTGCTTCCTTGCTAGGGTAATAGTTATATTCGTCATTTGCTTTGCTAGTTTAGCTTTACTCCAATGGCTTGCTAACTTTGCATGGGAGTTTTGTTGTCTTGTGAGGCTCTAAAGTATACCGTCAAGGTGTTTGTCTATCTCCATAATTAGTTCAACGTGTTTTTTCTCCAACCTTGTGCCTGTTAGAAATTGTGAGAAAAAATAATAAAATTGTCTTATTAATCATCAAAATAAGGAGGATCTAATATATGGATAAGATCATATCTAAATATAAATCTATTAAATATAAAATTGAATATCTAAAATATCTTAATATTGATCATCTCGACTTTGCGCTCGTTTCTTAATACATCTTCCAGTATATTGTCTTTAGTTGACAACAATATATCGATCTCGCTTCTGGTTTGATCAAGGTCCGTCTCGACTGACTGCATTGCTTATTTGATGCTATTGGGGTGGTGGGCCGGAGAAATCGATTCCTCGGCCTGTAGTGCGTGTGCAACGTCATTAGGGCCTCGGCTAAGCATTGAATCTCTGCCTCGGCCAGCTCGTCCAACAATTTTGTCGTTGCCTTGACTATGAACTGACGGATTCCATTGTTGGATAAATAATCCGGATTGAATGAAAATAAGAACAAATCGAATTTCGCAGGATATATATGATCTTAGATATACTTTGAGTCGCGTAGATTCGCTTTCCTTATACAATATTTCGACCCTATTAATACCCCGGGTTGCACAAAATTTGTATGAGGATAAAATAAAGCAACACTCGAATTTTAGGCGAAAAATTGAGCAAGTAAAATATTGAAAAATTAATTTGCGCACGTAGATTAATTCTGCAGACAAGAATTGTTCTTCCATAAGAATAAGATAAGCTTTATTAAATAGGCATTGAAGTGGCTATTCAAATAATTTCAGATTTAAATCCCAAAAATCGTCAATTGAAAATTTGTAACTTTTAATTTCAAATTTAAGAGATTAAATCTCTTCAATTCAAATATTTAATTTAATCTGAATCATGAGAGTTTTGTGCGTGATTTTCGTATGTAACCCTCTTTTAGTCATGGGCATGACTAAACCATCCATCCATATACAAATTCATGTAATTATTAAACACTTCGTTCAATGTCGTATAGACATGCTCGAGCGCGCACCCCACTTTCCCGAGAATAGCTCATTACTACATTCCTTATCTTCGAATAAATCCAATACAAAATAACCAACATCCATAAGGCTCTACCTCGCCCTGTTTCATCACAGTGGGAAATATTTGTAAGAACTGAGCCTCGCTTTTGAACATAAATGTCAACATAAATCGTTACCTATGACGTCCTGTCTGTTAATTGGGAATGTTGTAATGGCTATGTTTATGCTTGGGTTCGCCTCTGACTCAGAAGACGGGCGTGATGTTGATATGGAGGAAACCATTTATCTACTCCAATCACCGCTTCTACGAACACGTCCCTTTTGAGAATGTTGGTGAGATTTAAATCAATATTTACTCATAACTCAGTGATGTGGGATTCATTTCAAGTATGTTGCAATTCATATCTTATTTAAGTGTTATGACTCGATTTTGCTTTATTTGACTTGTGATGAATGTTCTTAAACCATTTTTCTATTCTATTAGAGTTGGATGTGGATCGATATTCACTGTTATTCCTTGATTATCCTTTATATGCCCTCTGGTGATTGTTATTGAATGATTCTAATAATCTATTTTTCTATTCACTGTCATTACATATACTCATTGTAGTCACGTTTTCACTCGTGAACTCGATTTCTTGAACATGAACTTGAGTTGAAACTGTGAAAACAAATATTTTGTGAATTGCATTTCATTATAGAGATAAACATTATATCACTACATTCGTATGCACTGATCATAAAAAAATATTATTAAAAACATTTCATTAGGACAAAAAAATAAATCAATCTAATATTTGAATAATATTATTAAAAATATATTTTAAAATTCAAATAAAATATTCAAATCAAGTCGAATAATTTTTAACACAATTTCGAATTGAATACAAATCGCATTTAATATTTGAAACAAATCAAATATCAAATCGCATATTTGAATCGTTTCACAAATACCGAATCGAATACTATAGTATTTGCATCCATAAGAATCCACAGGCACAGGCAGGCAGGCATAGACATTGCTTATTAGATGTTGTGTTGTACCTGCGTTGTCTGATCATATGCCCATAAATAAATTAGTTCAGTGCCTCCTCTTCTTCCTTCCTCATTATGTAATCGACTGCCTCTTCTACTGTCTCAACAACCTGCACTCATCATCAAATTTGCATCACAAAACTTGCCTTCCTTGCGGGATATATGAGAAGAAGATAACGACAACAAAGAAGAAAGATTGTAGATTATTGCCCAAGACAATCACCAGATCTGCAGGATTCGACGGGTCATTTTCATTTCCTTTGAAAACCCCAGACCTCGTCAAGATTGAAAACCAGGGATGCCCTGCCTGTATAATAGGGGAGAAAATTATTGATAATATTAACATAAGATGCAAATAGCTATGGAAAATAGGAAGACAAGGACTTAGCTAAGAACCAACCTGCCTAGCCCCTTTAATGTCGACTGAGGGGTTGTCTCCGATCATGTACAACCTTCTGAAAGGATATGGTTTTTTATCGGTATGGTCTATGCTGGAAGGTAGTAGTCGGGTCAATACATTTTCAGCATTCTTGAATACAAATGGAGTTGGTTTGCCGTATGAGGTGTGCTCCAGAGGATTGCAGTAAATTCTGTGCATACATACATTTTAGTAGTACAGCATTGCAAGCTACTATAGTTCACAAGGCAATTGGATCATGAAGATTATGAAGTTGTTCAAGACTTGCGACAAATAATGTCTTTCAATAGACTATTGTGAAAATCAAAAGGTCCTTCATCCTAAGTGTTTACAGACGAAATTTAATGAAAAGCGTCAACATGTTTCTGTTTTCAAGATAATCAAGCCCCTCTCAATAGACCACTTTGAAACATACCTGTTGTAAACAGATTCTAATGCAATCCGAAATGCTCCCATTCCAAGGCGTTCGGTACGAAATAGGCCCTGCAATTGATGTGTATTATTATTATTAGCAATGGTTCAAAGCGTACACGCAAACAAATTACATACGCCAATTCCAGCTTGGCAAACTAACTTGATAGGAAAGGTCATCATTCGCAAAATATAGAGGTGGTTGGCTTGATATCTCACTTCCAGGAAGACCTCCAGTGCTCAAAATATCGCATAAAACCTGCAATTTGATTCCTCTTGTGCTGTACAGTAAGGAGTAAAAAGGTGGGCTGATTTTCAAGTAACTTATGCAGTCATGCTCAGCAGCTTAATACGTTGAACAAAAATCTTTTGGCACATTAACAATAGCAACAGAAATAAAATTGTGTTACCAAGTGTTTCCACATTAGAGAGAATTCCACATCCCAATAACATCTCACATAATCTTGTAACAAACCGAAAAGATACAGATTCATAATTCTTACCAAACAGATTTCATTCAAATGTATAATTTCTAGTGCAGCCTTACAAAATTGTCTTAGTTGTGGAAGAAGAATTAGTTTAGATTTCCCCCTAAAGGGCTAATCCACTAAGGTCTTGATGGATTTTGTACTTTCTAGTGATTAACTGTGAAACCATATTAACTTCCCATCTACTTACTAACTACTAAGGTCTAAAGGTCAAGAATTTCATTGTTAGAATGAAATTGATGCTAACTTAACATAAACAAAATAAGATGAATTACCTGGATGTCCCTGCTCCAATCTACAGAATCGCTAACAATGAAAACAGCTTGTACTCTCTCTGAACATGGATTAATAATTCGGGGAAGTTCATTGGAAAAGCTTTTCCCATGGGCAGCCCTTTGGTTCATCCAGTTCTTAAATTTTTCCAATGGGTCAATATGTTGAAAATAAGATGTATATTCATCCATGGAGAGAACATTTCTGGAGCAGTAAGGTCACAAGAGAATCAGAAAATTGGATCATGTTTAACAAATCAGTAAGAATATACCAAAAAAAAACACTGACTTAAAACCATATTCAGACATCACTGCTGTAGGTTCTCCCTTTCCAACTGCAATAATGAGCTCATTCTCAAATCTGCAAAAGAGAGACGATTAACGACTTGCCTAAGTACAAGAAATTACTTCTTATATTTGACCGGTTCATATTTCTTAGTGGTGTAAAAATATTAAGGTACATAAATATATATATATATATATATATAGAAAAGTTAAACTTTTGAATATTAATTATTTTGCATATATAGAACATGAATAGATTGTCGAACAATAAATAGCAAATAACAACAGTTTCAATATCTAATTGTACATATATTAAAAAAAATTAAAAAAAAAAAGGTAATTCAATCATCTAGAATACAAGATTGATTGTCACACTCATCTTGAAACCACATCATCGTTTCAAATTATAAAAAAAAAATAAATAAATAAATGCAAAACACTATATTAATCACAAATCTATTTACAATTCATCTACCACACAGGAGCCAAATTTGGTTGCACCTTTTTTTCAATATATCTTATAATGCATTTCTCGAGAAACATTCTCATTAGTAAGATTCTCACATTGATTAAACTTGCCTAAAATAAATATTATATAAATAGATCCAAATGACTTGAAGGAATAGATCCACTTCTACTGGCAAAAAAACATTCTAGGAGACCCAAGATGCAGAAATCCTGTACAATAGCAAAAGAATACCTTCCCACAAGCTGCTTGAAAGGTGAATGTCCTTGTATAACCTGAAATCACAGTTTAACTAAGTTAACTCTTTAAACGTAGAAGAATGAAAGGAAATTTGGGTTTGATCCTAGTGAGAGGTCCACTTGAGATCAGAAATCTTTGAAGAAACAACAGGATCTTTCTTTCAACCCTTCCAGGCAATTAGAAAATAAAGAACTGTTGTCCGAGAAGTTGAGATCTTTTGAAGTTCATGGAATAAGTTTTAGTTTTAGTTTTCCACCACTTGACTTTATTATTGTCAATGTCTGAAAAAATAAAAAACGCTTTGATGCATCTTTAAAACTAAAACCAAGACTAGGAACAGGATCCAAAATCAATGCTCTTTTGACACAAATGGGTGATCTACAATATTTTTCACTAATCTAAGCAATTTATCCAAAAAAAAAGGAAAAAAAATGTAAATAATGCTTATAAGAATAAGAAAAGAGATGCATTGTAACAGGAACCTGTGAAGGAAGTATATGGACGTTTAATAATTTGCTCAACTCCGCTGCTCTTTCAGATTCAGGTACACCGCCACCTAATTTTTGTGTTTGACCAAAAGATAAGAAATGTTAGCAAAGAGTTACGGCAGCAACTTCACTTAATACATGTATGTGCAGCATGAAAGCAGGAAATGCTTTATTGAGCACAAGTAATGGTTTAATTTAAGTGAGATATAGATCAGCAGATAAGTGAATACACTTAATAGAGAATATATAAAATTTGCACATTGTCTCCTAAATTCGACTATTGTTTTGCTGCTGAAATAATAAACATCAAAAGAGAAATTACATGAACTGTTCAAATCAGGTAGAAGTTTCTAGTAACTGCAATCTTAGAAATAAACGTTCGATTTCCGCATAGGAAACTGGCTTTTGTACAAAACACAAGGATAATAAAGAAGCATCATCATACCAAACGATAATCACCCAAAGACAGCCCGGCTTAGTGCTCACATCATATTGTATAAAAATGATTTCAAGGATTATAGAAAAGGAATGATCCAGTGGCTCACCATTGGTCAAGAAAACATAGGGAATTCTCAAGTTACCTGGCATCAAAGAAAGAAGTTTTTATGAAGTTTAACAATGCGCTCACTATACGAATAGTTATGTCATAGGTACATTAATATCCAAAAAATATGAACATATAAAGAATTATAACAAAAATGTACCTGCTTAAACTAAAATCTATGTCAAACTTTATCTAAAGCACCTCCTTAATCTTATAAATAAAATATAGCATGCTTCATTGTAATAGTAAAATCAAGAAAAAGAACTTAAACATTTCAACAAAATTTTCTTTGTATTTTGCATGTTTTAAGATTTTATTACAAAACTCTTTCTTTACTTCTTTCTATTCTGAGTTTTATCTTCTCCGAAGTTTCGTTAGATTGTTACAGCTCGAAAATCCAAAATCTTTTGAAACACCTAATTAGTTAGAAATCGGGATAACCATAAACTGCGCAGTTACACATTTTTGGCTTTCGTGTTCCGAGTTGGGAATCGGGGTAGGAAAAAGAAAAAAGAGAAAGGAATTCGTTTACCAGAATCATCATATAATCTTTTCAATGCCCGCGGAGAGTCTCCGATGGGAATTTCGCCTCGCAAAATAACGCCATCAATGTCGAACGCAATGCCAAACCGTGCGCTACATAAAACGATTTGAGAATTTCGTTAACGAATTACCACCCATAAAACAGATACGGATACAAAATCGGAGCAAATAGATGTGTTTCAGCAGGTGCAAATGACAAAGAAAGAGTACGAGTAGCTAGGATCAGAGTGGTCGGTCAACAAACAGCGGCGGCCATTGGCGGCGGAAACCGAAGAAACTCTGGCCTGATTTGGAAGAGAAGCGTTGACAGCTTTTCTCAAACCTGGCAGAAATCTCATTTGCTCTGTAGCATACTTCGAAAATTTCTCCAAATTAAGAGAGTATTAAATATAAAAAGTATATAAAATATATACTCCTCCCCCAGCATGGCAAAGTATTTATTTTTCAATTTTAGTTCGTCTAGTAATAAAATATTTATTTTTTTTTATAATAATTGTATTGTATCTAACATTATAAATAACTTTACAATTTACTATATATTACACCGAATGTCATTACCTTTATATCACAAGTACTAATTAATAAAATTATTTTAGTCATTTTTGTTTTATTTTTACTATATTTCAATATAATACTAGTATTTCTAAAATTACGTAAAAAAGCAAATGAATATTTTTTATGGGACTGGAGAGAGTATATATATATATATTGAATTATAAACATAATTTTTTATAGTCAATAAATCATAATGCTATTAATTTACCTATAAATTTTATCTAAATACTCACGTTTATTATGTGCATGGATCAACAAGATTATTTATATAATGTAATTGCAATTGTGCGTTAAAAAAAAAAAAAAAAAGAGTTAGATAGTCAACAATTCATTACGCATATAAAAAATTTATTTTACCTATTATATCTATCCTTTAAACCCCAAGAGAATTCAGTCCCAAATCCCAAACCTTAAACCCATTACCCTAAAATCAAAACCCTAAACCACTTAACATATATGCATATTGGATTGGCATGTATAATAATAATAATAATAATAATAATAATAATAAAATACTTTTCTTGTATGGGTAAATTGATTGTTTAAGTACCTAACCTCTCATGCACCGTCATACTACATTTATATTACAAAAGCAATCGTGTTAGTCCATAGGAGTATATTTATACTAAACATGAGTTTTTAAATTATTTTAAAAGATATATTGATCTCATGTCGGGGTATATACTATATTAATAGGTTTCATGTGGGACTAACAAATATATACAAATAAAATAAAATAGGCATATATTCTAGAATCGAAACCTTCTATTTCCTGCTTTTTTATTTATTTACTTTTTAAATAAAATATTTCTTTAATATAATATTTTTAAAAGAAAATCACAATTTGATAAAGAAAAATCGCAACTAACAAACCCTAATCATTATTAGCATAACAATATTCAATTCATTAAACTTGATCTAAACTAAAAATTACATATAAGAGATTAAAACAAACATATTAGTCACTACTAATTAACATATTCATTGAATTTTGACCTAATTTTAGAATTATAATTACTAATATGTTTAATATTTTATTCTAAATATTAGTAGCATTTATTAAAAATGGTTAATATCTAACTTATGCACTATTGTACAAAAATGAAGCAACTCAACTAACAACATCTATTAAATACACATGCAATGATTTTCCTAATAATAATTGACAGAATTTGATTTTAATATTTAAATGGACAATAATGATCGGAGATTTTGCCATCTTTGAAATTTGAGCAGCTTTTTGTTGTTTAGCTTCCTTTCGCAACTTTCGCCCAACCTTCTCGATCTTAAAATTAAATATCAGTTCACCTGTACGAGAAAAATGGGGTATAAATAGGATGATAAATAAAAATAACACAAAATAGTAAAACAAAGTGCCAATCCCCGGCAACGGCGCAACAAATTGACCTGTCGCGCGATCAATCAAATATTTCACCTAATCTGTGATCACAATTTAATGTAACAAGGGGAAGGGATCGCCTCCACGGGGATTATGTGATTCACTCTTTCGTGTTCTAATGCAATAAATAATTGGGGGGTATTTTTTTATTATCTAATAAAAATAAAATAAGAAAGCAATTAAATTAAGGGAGAACTAGCTATTAAGGGGATGTCTGGCCCAATGGATGATGCAGTTATGACACTTGTGTTTTTATCATTGATTCAATAGAGTTAGTTCTTATTAAAGTATCAATAAATTAATTATAGTTATAAACAAGCTCTGACAAATAATTTTTCCTTACAGTGTAGGTAATTAAGATACGACCGTTAACTACCCCTAATTAAGCAAATAAACATAGGTGCGCCCATAAGAAATATTGTCTAATCGCATTCTAATCTAGAAAAACCCAATTTAAAATAATTACTACTTAAGATGAGCAATTAGATTTGATTGTCTAACCCCCGGGAATAAACTATTCAACCCGGTTGTCACCTATTAAAGTGCGAATACACTTACGAATATCCTACCTGAATTGACTTTAGGTTATTAGACTAATTCAAATATCGGTACCAAAATATTCAATCAATCTAACAATCACAAACTTTATTATCAGAATTAGACAAATATTGATAATTAAAAAGAACTTTAATAAAGAAAATTAAGAATCTTCAAAACAAATGAACCAAAACATTATCACATCTCAAAGTAGAAAAATATCTACTTCATAATCAAAAAACGAAGAACAAAAGTGAAAGATAAAGTCATAGCAGGGAGGAAATATTCTCTGTCGATTTGCTCATGCGCGATCTATAAATCTGTGAGTCTTCTGCTCTTGTACGTATCTGCTCTGGCCGTTCCCCTCCTCATGTGCGTATGTGCTCTGGTCGTTCTTCTCCTCATGTTTGTATCTGTTTGGGCCGTTCTCTTCTCTTCTACGTGTGATCCTTCATTATTATTTAATTTTTGCTCTAAATATTTTGTAGCTGTGCTTTTGGGCCTTTAATTAAATTACCAGGTCATGAGGGGATAGTTAGTCATGACCATGACTAACTTGATTGTCCAATGCTGATTTTTTTCTTTTATTTTTCTCCAAATTCACCAAAATTTTCTTTTATTTCCTACATGTCGGAAATAAACAATACACACCAAAATTAGGCAGAATCTAATCAAAATCAATCAAATATCGCATATGATATGAACATAAAACGCATGCGATTTCTAGCTATCAATTATAAGATTATAATCAATATCAATATAGTATTATTATATTGCACACATCAAATTTAAATAAGTATAATAATACTGCATATACACTGAATTGTAATTAGATTCTTAGAATTGACAACATTCTCCACTCTACTTTTTCCCCTTCAAGTAAATTATAGGAACATCGTAAATTAATAAGGAATCAGGGCGTATATTTTTATTGGTAATTTTTCTATATTTCGATTTTATTTATTTATTTTGATCAAATATTTAGATCATTATTACAAAATTATAAATATTGAATAATAGAAATAACACCCCATAATTATTATAATATATTTGCAACATATATGTTATGTAACACAAAATAGGTAACTGTTTACGGCACAATTTTATTTATATATGGTTTGTCTTCAATGATTATTTGAATGAGAATGAAATTCGACGAGTAAACAATTATATAGAGTACTTTATAATACACTATAAATAATAAATAAATTATAGTCAACCAACTATCTGATCATACCCTATTAGTAACACATCAAGGTGTATTTTGTTTGTGTGAGTTCTTAAATAATTCTCAATAATTTTTATATTATATATATTTTTTCAATAAAATAAAATTTATTTAAAATTTTGGTATTCTAGAATCAAAACCTTTTATTCCCTGCCATTTTATTTACTTACTTTTTAGATAAAATATTTCTTTAATATAATATTTAAAAAAAAATCATAATTTGATAAAAAAAAAAAAAAATCATAAGTAACAAACCTTAATCATTATTAGCATAACAATATTCAATTCATTGAACTTGACCTAAACTAAAAATTGCATATAAGAGATTAAAACAAACATATTATAAGTCACTACTAATTAACATATTCATTGAATTTGACCTAATTTTAGAATTACATTTACTAATATGTCTAATATTTTATTCTAAATATTAGTACCATTTATTAAAAATGGTTAATATCTAACTTATGCACTATTGTACAAAAATGAAGCAACTCAACTAACATCATCTATTAAATAGACATGCAATGATTTTCCTAACAATAATTGACATAATTTGATTTTAATATTTAAATCAAAAATAATGATTAAAGATTCTGTCAGCTTTGCAACTTGAGCAGGTTTTTGTTATTTAGCTTCATTTCACAACTTTCGCTCAACCTTCTCGATCTCAAAATTAAATATCAATTCACCTGTACGAGAAAAACGGGGCATAAATAGGAGGATAAATAAAAATAACACAAAATAGTAAAACAAAGCGCCAATCCCCGGCAACGGCGCCAAAAATTACCCTATCGCGCGGTCAATCAAATATTTCACCTACTCTGTGATCACAATTTAATTTAACAAGGGGAATGGATCGTCTCCACAGGGATTGTGTGATTCACTCTTTCGTATTCTAATCCATTAAATAATTGGGTGGAATTTTCTTTTGTTATCTAATGAAAATAAAACAAGAAAACAATTAAATTAAGGGAGAACTAGCTATTAAGGGGATGTCTGGCCCAAGGGATGATGCAGTTATGACACTTGTGTGTATATCATTGATTCAATAAAGTTAGTTCTTATTAAAGTATCAGTAAATTAGTTATAGTTATAAACAAGCTCTAACAACCAATTTTTCCTTACAGTCTAGGTAATTAAGGTACAACCGTTAACTACCCCTAATTAAGCAAATAAATCTAGGTGCGCCCATAAGAATATTGCCTAATCGCATTCTAATCTAATAAAACCCAATTCAAAACAATTACTAGCTAAGAGAAGCAATTAGATTTGATTGTCTAACCCCCGGGAAGGACTTATTCAACCCGGTTGTCACCTATTAAAGTGCGAATACAATTACGAATATCCTACCTGAATTGACTTTAGATTATCATACTAATTCAAATATCGGTACCAAAATATTCAATCAATCTAACAATCACAAACGTTATTATCAGAATTAGACAAATATTGATAATTAAAAAGAACTTCTATAAAGAAAATTAAGAATCTCCAAACTAAAAGAACCAAAACATTATCACCCCTCAAACCAGATAAATATCTACTTCATAATCAGAGAAAAAAGAACGAAAGAGAAAGATAAAGTCATAGTGGGAAAGGAAATCTTCTTTGTCGATTTGCTCATGCGCGATCTATAA